TCAACAAACTTTGAATATCCTGAGTATGTGGATGAAGAAGAAGAATATGATGAAGTCCCAGAAGAGGTTTCACGGTTTCTCGAGCGCGTGGAAAATACCATTCAGCCACATAAAGAGCCGCTGGAGACGATTAACTTGGGTTCAGAGGAAGATCCGAAAGAAGTCAAGATTTGGGCACTGCTTTATTGTGGAATATTATTTGTTGCTAAAGCCATAATGTTCACTAATCAAGAAGAAGCTACGAAGAGCTTATCCTAACATGGAAGTGAATATTAACGAAGAGGTTTTGAAGCAGATTGATGTTGGTTTTCTTATGACATCAATGTACACTCATTGGATTGCCAATATTGTTCCAATACCAAAGAAAGACGGAAAATTTTGTATGTGTGTTGATTATAGAAATTTAAATAAATCAAGTCTGAAAGATGATTTTCCATTGCCCCATATTGATATGTTGGTTGATAGCACAACAAAATTCAAAGTGTTCTTGTTCATGGATAGATTTTCCGAATACAAACAAATTAGGAAGGCTCCTGAGGACATTGAGAAAACAACGTTTATCAAACCCTAGGGAAAATTTTGTTACAGAGTGATGTCTTTAGGGTTGAAGAACGCTAGTGTGATGTATCAGAGATCTATGACAACCCTATTCCATGATCTGATGCATAAAGAAATCGAGGTATATGTTGATGATATGATCCCCAAATCTCAGACTGAGGAAGGGCATTTGGAAGACTTGTTAAAATTGTTTCAATGTTTGAGGAAGTATCGTCTCTGCTTGAATACAATAAGTTTACCTTTGGTGTCTGGTCTGGAAAGTTGTTAGATTTTCCTTTAAAGTTGATCCTGATAAAGTTAGGGCAATTCAAGAAATGCTTGCACCAAAAACTGAAAAACAATCAGAGGATTCCTTTGGCGTCTAAATTATATTTCCAAGTTCATTTCCCATATAACTGCAACATGTGAACCAAACTTTAAGTTGTTAATGAAAGGTCAAGGTTGTGTGTGGACAAATGATCTCCAAAGGGAATTTGAAAGCATTAAATAGTATTTACTTGAGCCTCCTATCTTTCTCACTCCTATTTAAGAAAGACCATTTATTATATTCTGACTGTGTTGGATAACTCCATGGGATTTATTTCTAGACAACAAGATGAAACAGTAAGAAAAGAATATTCCATTTATTATTTGAGCAAGAAGCTCACTTACTGTGAGTCACGATATTCTATGCTAGAAAAAACATATTGTTCTTTGGCTTGGGATTGCAGCAATATATGTTGAATCATACCACTTGGTTGATTTCCAAAATGGACCCAATCAAGTATATTTTTTAAAAGCATACTCGTACTGGAAGAATTTCCCGTTGGCAGATGTTGTTGTCTGAATATGATATTGAATATCGTACTCATAAGGCTATTAAAGGCAATGTGTTGGTAGAGTACCTTGCTCAACAACCAGATGACAATTATCAATTTGTTAAGTTTGATTTCCCTGATGAGGATATGATGTATTTGAAAGTAAAAGATTATGATGAACCTTTGCCTGAGGAAGGTCCTGATCCCGAATCCAGATGGGGTATGGTGTTTAATGGAGTTGTAAATGCTTATGGAAAAGGAATCGGTGTTGTAATTATCACTCCCCATGGGTCACATATCCCTTTTACTGCAAGGTTGACATTTGATTGTACCAATAACATGGTGGATTATGAAGCTTGTATCATGGGTCTTGAATAGGCTATAGATCTCAAAATCAGAATTCTTGATGTATATGGTGATTCATCTTTGGTAATAAATAAGATCAAGGAGAATGGGAGACTCGTCACACTGGCTTGATTCCCTACAAAAATTATGCAAGAAGGTCATTACCTTTCTTCAATAAAGTTGAATCACATCATATTCCCAGAGATGAGAATCAAATGGCATATGCTTTAGCCACTTTGGCTTTCATGTACCAAGTAAATGCTAGAAATGATGTACCTCAAATTACAGTTTGACATCTTGATAGACCAGCTCATGTGTTTTCTACAGAGGGGATGTCAGATGAAAAACCTTGGTATTATGATATCAAGCACTTCCTTCAGACTCAAGAATACCCGATTGGTGCGTCGAACAAAGATAGAAAGGAATTAAGAAGGATGACAGGTAGCTTTTTCTTCAATGAAGATGTGTTATACAAGAGAAATTATTACATGATCTTGCTCAGATGTGTGGATAGACACGAAGAAGAAATTTTGATGCATAAGATTCATGAAGGTTCCTTTGGTACCCATGCCAATGGATATTTGATGGCAAAGAAGATGCTTAAGGAAGGTTACTATTGGCTGATAATGGAATCTGACTGATATAAATTTGCAAAGAAGTGCCATAAATGTCATATTTATGCTGACAAGATTCATGTGCCTCTAACGCTTCTCAATGTTATTTCTTCCCCATAGCCTTTTTCTATATAGGGTATTGATATGATTGGAATGATTGAACCCAAGGCATCGAATGGACATTGTTTCATCTTAGTGGCAATTGACTACTTCACCAAGTGGGTGGAATCAGCTTCCTATGTTAATGTCTCCAAGCAGGCGGTAGTACACTTTATCAAGAACAATCTTATATATCGGTATGGTGTGCCAAGTAGGATTATCACTGATAACGACTCAAATTTGAATAATAATATAATGACAAACTTTGTGAAGAATTCAAGATTGTCCATCACAACTCGTCTCCTTACAAGCCTAAGATGAATGGGGTTGTTAAAGCTGCTAATTAAAACATTAAGAAGACCATTCAGAAGATGGATGTTACCTATAAGGATTGGCATGAGATGCTCCCTTTTTCTTTGCATGGGTATCGTACATCCGTTCGCACTTCAACAGAGGCAACCTCATTCTCTCTTGTGTATAGTATGGAAGCATTGCTCCCCATTGAGGTTGAGATTCCCTCTTTGTGTGTAATAATGGAAACTAAGTTGTCAGAGGCTGAATGGGTCCAGAACAGGTTTGAGCATTTGAATTTAATTGAAGAAAAAAGAATGAAGGCCTTGTGTCACGGTCTATTATATAAGAAAATAATGAAGGAAACTTTTGATAAGAAGATCAAGCCTCGTAAATTTAGAGAAGGAGACCTCGTGGTCAGAAAGATCATGTCTTTTAACGATGATTCTAGGGGTAAGTGGACTCCTAATTATGAAGGCCCATATGGTATCAAGAAAGCCTTCTCTGGTGGTGCATTTATTCTTGAAAACATGGATGGTGAAGAGTTCCCACATCCCATGAATGCTGACGCAGTCAAGAAATACTTCGCCTAAAGAAATAAAAGAACAGCTTGCTAAGTTAAAAACCCGAAAGGGCGACTTAGGAAAAAAAAGTGTCTCGGTAGGTTGAAAACTCGAAAGGGTGGTCTAGGAAAAAGTTAGAGACATAAATAGAATAAATTTTCCCGGTAGGTTGAAAACCCACAAGGGCAACCTATGCAAAAGTTAGGGATTTCTTGGCAAGTAACTGCGTCAGACAAGACTTGATCATTGAAGCAATAATCTTCTCGAATTCTCATCACACTTCAACTGAAGCCTATGCTCAGGAGTTCAAAGTTAATAGGGAGAATAGTGGCCACTGTGTTTGAATGTATATTTTCCATGTATTTACCATTTTCCAAAACTCTGTAATCATCCATGGAGTCACTCCATTTGTGGACTGCCATTCTATTAATAAAGTTTGAGCCTTTATCCAATTCTTTGTAGTTCTTATTTTATTCTGTTTATAAAAATTTCATTTATTATCGATAGTAATTTTCAAAACAAAAAGACCTAATAATAAAAACATGTTTTTGAAAAGAATTTGAAAATCACTTTTTACTTGAATCCTATGATTCAAGTGGGACAAAAGTACTGATTCCAAGGATAGACAAACTCCAAAGTTTTGAAAATATTCCCCAAGAAATATTTGGGGTTACTCTTGCTGATATGCGCATAATCCACTTGTATTTGTTGGATTTCATACTGTTGCACCCCAAAATTTACCCTCCTTAATTTCTTTCATTTGGGCTTAGACTTTTGCATTCATCTGCATATATTCCATTAGGTCACTAACATGGCATACATTTAATTTAATATAGATATGTGGTTCAAAGTTTAGTGGTTGTGTGATGTTAGGGTTTCATAATGGTTAAGACGTTCGTATCCAATAAAGGCTACTTTATTATTCAAAGGATTCCTCAAGGGGTTATTGTTCTCTCGTGTTATTATTACTTGTAATGCAAGTTAAAGTTTCATGGAGAATTGAAGATTTAATTAGGAAAGTATCCATTCAAGTTTCTTAAGGTGCAAGTAAATGTAAAGGTTACAAGGCATGGTCTCAAGATTAATTAAGGTTCTCAAGCACATGTTTTGTCAAGAGTTGATTCATGCTAGTATGGGAAGAAATTTCATGTGGATTTCCTCACAAGTTAACTTGGACTTATGGTCTCAATTGAGATTGAGGTGCATTAATCAAGCATGTAAAATGGAAGATCCATCCATGGTTGATTTCTTGAAATTCAAGCTACCAAGGCGAAATAATACAACATTTCAAACATTATTCAAGGCATGAGATCACTTTCAATTTCAAGTGGAATATTCAGGTTTCAATTGGTTCAAGATTCAAATTTCCAAGTTCAAGTCCATTGATTTCAAGTTGTCAAAAGTGAAATATCATTCAAGGTTTTGAAGCATTTCTTTTAAGACATGATTTTAAGCAGAAATTCTAAAAGTATATGTATCATGATTCAAGTTTGCTTAGCATATAAATTTCAATATTCTTAAGAACAAATTCAAAAAAATATGAGGCCTTTTCATGTTATCATCATTCGTTACACATTCAAGTTCACTATAAGAATACGTACCCATTCAAAGTTTTCAAAATAATTTCATTTACAATTGTCCATGGAAACCTTGAACAAAAAGAAAAAAGAACATTACAAAAGAAAAAGCATGGCTAGCTCTAAGTTCTAAGCCTAAAATTGAAGCCTCCTGAGTCAAATCTTGAGTATAGACTTTGCCTTGTGCCCAATCCTTACCATACTTGCAAAGCTGACCAAAGCCCATGCATCAATAAAAAACTTCGAAATGATTAAATAAACCAGATCCAAACAACTTACCCTGCATATGACCATCAACCATACATAAACCCAAAAGAGAATAAAATATCTTGCTATTCGAAAAACAACATAAAACAAGATCAGGAAAATTTGGAATCGAGAGGAAATAAACCAACTCAGAAGTCAGAATATTCTAATAGCCTCATAACAAATACAGAAAAGTGGTTGATGTACCAGTTCACGGCAGATTAGCAGCTCAGTTCAATTTAAGGGAAAGGTCAGGAAAATACATATCAAAAACCTTGACATTGTAGTTCATGAGTAAAACCAAAAATCCAGTTCAGCTTCAGTTCATTTTTCAGAGCTAAGTTAGATGTTTAGATCAAGTTTCATAACGCAGTCTAATTCAAATCTCACCCTCTAAATTCTGCAACTAACTTACAAATTCAACAGTTAAGATTTAATCCATTTGTAACTGATTTCAAACTGCCATAATAGAATGGCAACTAACCTCCTAACGACCTCTAACAAACTTCCGCCAGAAGTATAACAGAAAGAGTTGCAGAAGGGATTCATTCACGATCTTGAAAGGAGGAAAATCACAAATCGTATAAGGCAAAAACTCAGAAGATCAAAATTAAAAACAAAAACTAACCTCATAATTATTTCAATCCTCATTATCCATTTTCCAACTGATTTCCTGATCCAAAGGCCAAGATAGCTTCAACTATAATAAACTTTTGCTACTATGTAACAAACTTTCTCTTTCAATCTCAGGGAGCTTGATTCTTGACTTCATCAGAAGAATCACAAAAATACCTTCATTCATTCTTAAATCATTGTAGAATCACCAACAAAACAAGAAAACTCCCATCTCTCTTTCTCTATTCAATCTCCAATCATCTTCGAGCTGCATAATATCCATCGCTGCTTTGCATACTCTCTGAAAATCACATTGTTGCACCTGTTTCATCGCCTTCTCTGCAATCATCTTCATAACCTTTTTCTCGGCACAACAACGACAGCGCTTAATCGGAGCAACCACAAGAATAACAACAACGCATACATTATAATAATACATGTGTCGAGTGAAATAGAAGAAGAAGAATTGCGAAGAAGAGGCAAGAACAAGAAAAATGGAGGAAGCTCAATATTACCTCCATCATCGAATTTCTCTGGGGTTTCTTCTCCTCTATGAGTCATCGGCGCCGGTATCAGGTCGGTAATCTCACTATCTCCTTCACGCATTCGTATATTTTTCGTATCGTTACGTAGCATGTGATGTTTTGATTCATAACCCTATGGTCTCGTTTCCAGATTCGCTTCTATCATCGTTTGATTTTTCCTTGAGTTTTCTAGGTTTTCTTTTCTAGATTTGTTTAGATTTGAGGAATAGGAGAAGGAATCGGTGAAGAAGAGAATATTGAGGTATAGTTGTAGCAGAGTGTTGGTGATCGAAGTAGAGAGCGACGATGAGAACGGAGGTGAACGGAGGAAAGATCGAAGGAGAATACACAGACGAAGGGAGTTCGAAGTCTTTGAAGGAACATGAAGGGTTTCAAACCATAAGTCTGTATGCGGCGTCGTTTAGAAAATTAGGTATAATTCTCTTTGAATTTTTCTTTTTACTAATCATAAATTGAAAACAATTTATTAAAAACTTGTGAATACATTAGGATTGTTGAATGTAGCGTTTGGGCCCTTGTGTCAATTTGGCTTGGCATTTTTGCACCGCTCTCAGGATCCAAGAACCACCTTGCCATTTATTTAATTTTCACTTGGTTCTTAGAGTTTTTGGAAATTAATTTTTGATAATTCTTCTATGACTTTTTTGTTGAATTTCAGTACGAGCATTAATATGTTGATTCCTGACTTGATGATATTTTTTTCTATAATTTTTCTATTAGCCTAGAAATTAATTGAATTAATGTTTGGTACATGATTAAATTAGGATTTTAACGCATTCTTGTCGATTCCGTATCCTTGATTCAATTTCCTTGGCATAATGAGTGGTTTAATGGTAGGTTCTGATACCTGGATGATGCTTGAGTTGTGCTTATATTTCCTTGTTATTTGCTAACTCGTTTTGTGGACTTGTGCATGTTTCCGAAGGCTTTGTCATGCGACATGCAACCTTTGGATTATTGTCTTTGTATAGACTTATCTTGTGTGCAGGAACTCTGATGTGATGTGATGCATTTGTGGCTCGCGGTGCATTTTCTCACTTAATATTCATTGGATATTATTTCTGACTATTGCGCATTCTTGTTGAAACTTGCTCGAAGTTTTCCGAGTTTCCTTGATTTCGTCTGATAGTTGACGAACTTGCATTGATTCGTTTGTTGAGCAATATACGTATGCGCTTGAGATATCAACTGTGATTTATTTTCATATCGATGATGCTTTAACACTCATTCTAAGCATGCGATTTCTGACTCTTTTCTTTGATTGATTAAGCTTTCGCGAAGATCGTCGGGTTTCTTTGCTTTGATACGCTTTGTTACGGGTTGATATCCGTTTGGTATTTTCTCATGTTTATCTCATTTCAACACTTTATTTCTTTCTAGAGATCATGTATAGTAGGGACATTTATCGCTTTCTAGAAATCATGAGAAGTAGGAAGCAGGAAATAAAGAGTGTGCACTCGAAGTCACTGTTTAAAGTCCTGTAGCAGGCACCGCTTTCTGTATGCTAATTGTGGTTGTTTAAAATCCTACCTTTGAAGTAGGTATTCTGCATGTGTGTTTACATTTGTGCCCGTATTATATTACAGGTCGATAAGTCCTCAAAAGGAGGCAAGTGGGGAGGGTCCGTAGTCGACCCCCACAAATTCTAGTTTGTGTCATCCTTAGCTCGTGACACACCACAAAGCTTCGGAGTTGTGCCTGCTCTTGTGCATCGAGTCGTTAAGTGAGGAAGGGTTCCACAATTGAACCCCCACATTTTGTCAGGAGTTCGCATTGGCTGATGCTAATACTTTGTGATTATTTATGTTGCCTTATGTCGTCTACCTCGATCTTCTATATCTTGGTTAGGTGTTCAGTCGCTTTGGACATTACATTTTGCTTTTTCATCCTACTCCTGCTTGTTTGTCTCCGGTGATACACTCCCGTTGTGCTCTCTTGAGCTTATTGGCTTGCTTTCTTGATTTTATCTTTGTGTGCATGTTTTGAGATGATATACCCTCGACATGTTCCCTTAGGAGCTCTTGACTCATCTACAGATGATGATTTGAGATAGACATTAGGATTGTTATCCAAGCATGCTAATATAGGGTAGAGATTTCCCTTTTATCCTTAACCTTAGGATCAACCATTGTATGATAATATTAGGGATATATTTAGGTTAGTCTCCCTTAGATGTTTTCTTTCTTTTGCATCCACGCATTAAGACTAAAACTTCATTTATCTTGAAAAAAGCATAAAACATCTAACAACTTCTAAATCCTTCTTTAAGGTAAAAGATACCAATCAATACAAACTATTTTGTGCCTTCGGGCTTTTCTTTCAAACTTTTCAGAAAGAACATGTTAATTCACTTTTGTGCTGACGCGTGAGTCTTTAAAGGTCGAGCCGTGGCAGAAGACAAAATTAATATTGTTTATTAAAAAATACAAACCAACAAAACTTTTGAAGCCGAACTACAGCTGCTCTAATTCCTTAAAAGGGATACGTAGGCATCGGGGTAGGGCCCGAACGAGCATAACTTTTATTTTCCCTACATTCTTTTCTCCTTTCTTTTCCATACATTCCCCGTACAACTTAGATATAGATTTGAAACTCACTCTTCAATTAGAATAATAAGAGTGGATACCATAGATTACTGCAGGAGTGTGGGGTGCTAATACCTTCCCCTCGCGTAACAGACTCCCTTACCCATATCTCTCGGTCGTTTGACCGTGACTTCTCCCTTCTCAGGTTTTCTCGATGTTTACCTTTCCCTTCTTGTGGGATAACAGACGTTCGATGACGACTTCATTGATTTCATTATCAGTTGATTGTTCAGTCAGTTGTTTCACATACCAATTGATATGTGGTTTGGTGTTGGGTTTGTGATCCCATTTTCCCCAGTCGGGTCTTGATACGAATTTTTCTAGCTGAGTGTGATTCTTTCCCCAACTGGGTTATGATCAAGCAGAGATCGCAAAGTTATGAAGCTTTTGATCATTTGATGGAGTCATTCTCCCTTTGTGTTGAGAATTGATGTAGAATATCTTACGGAGCATTTCTCTCTCCGGTTATGATATTGTGGTTGTTGTGTGATCCCCAAGTAGTCGGACAAGGGCATTATCTTTTCTAAGAAGTGTTGAGACAACTGTTAACTTTTTGTGTTTTCTCTCGCCAAGTGTTGAGTTTGATTTAAAATCCCCATAACTTTTACTTCTTTTTGTGATGTTAACTTCTTAATTCCCTATATGAATCAAAGATATTGTTTCCCTCTAAAGTTGTTATCTCTGTGAAGTTTCATAGGTTTTCCCTAGAGAAGTTTGCACAACCATTATTCTTGATATTGAAGAATGTATTTTGGCTCCCCTCGATGATGTGGCATTTCTTCCCTAGTGAAGTCAGTACGGAATCTCCAATTGAAGTCTAGACGGTGTGGCATTGTCTTCCCTAGTGAAGTATGCATGATATTCCCAGGTGAAACGTGAAGGGGGGTGTTATATCCATGCAACAATTTTGGTTTATTTCTATCAGATTTTGATTTTGTTATTTTTCAAACCATGTTTCTTCCCAATGAAATTAAACCTTGAAGTAGGAATTTTTTCCTCAGTTGGTGCTCGCTCTCCTATGGAATCTTCATCCTGAATGTGATTTAGCCGAGTGTTGTCTTTATCCGAATTGGTTTGGTATGGTTACCCCCAGTGCAGTGTTTTGTCAGCATGTACATGACAACATTCCTATATTCATACATACATCATGCATAGCTGAATTAAAATTAATTTCTCATTTTCATTCATTAATGTTTTTGTTGGCATATTATCCTATTTGCAGAGTTTTGTTATCCTCTCTCTAATAGAGTGTCACCCTAAGCAGAAAGTGTATATATTTTCAATTTCCTCACTTAGTTATCCCTCGTGGAAGAATTTTGCTTTAGCCTTCCTATCCAGCTTATTATCTGGAGTGAATTTGGTCCCCATTTGAGTTTATTCCTCATTGGATGGCGTCTTGGTTTACTGTTTCACTCTGGTTTGTATCTGATTTAAATTTTTGGTCCCGACAGCAATATTATTTTGATCCCTATAGGCTGTGAGCCCTGGATTGAGAATGTGAATTTATTTTGTACGTGAAGACTTTATCCCCTCATCAGGAATGTATTGGTATTTCCCCATGAAATCAAGATTCATTTCCCAGCAGCATTATCGCAATCCTTTTGTAACAACAAGTGGCAGTCTCTTTATTTGAGCAACTTGTACTTCCCCAGTAAGTCTGTAAATGCCAGAGAAGATGTTTTTACTCCGATGAATGGTAGTCTCTATATTATGGGAGATAGTTTGTTGTTGAGGTTGGCTTTACATCAATGATAAAGACGGTTGGTTAAAAGATTCTTATAGCAATTTGTTACACTTTTCAAGTAATATCTTGATCAAAGAAGAAGTTGAGACTCGTTCTAAGTGGAATACCATAGTTTGGGAAACTTATTATTGTTCTATGTTTTTTTCTACCGTCATCCCTAAGTTGGTAGTTCACCGTTATTCGTTAGTCAGAATCTATATCTTTCTCCTCATTGGACTTTACCCCAATAGAGTTAATTGTTCCCATCCATAAGTGATGATGTCAAACCTTTGTTCCCAGTCATGAGTGTTGATGTCAAACCTTTGTTCCCAGCCATAAGTGTTGATGTCAACCTTTGTTCCCAGCCTCAAGTGTTGATGTCAAACTTTTATTCCCATCCATGAGTGTTGATGTCAAACCTTTGTTCCCAGCCATAATTGTTGATGTCAAACCTTTGTTCCCAGTCATAAGTTTTGATGTTAACCTTTGTTCTCATCCATGAGTGCTGATGTCAAACCTTTGTTCCCAGCCATAAGTGTTGATCTCAATTTTTGTTCCGAGCCATAAGCACTGATGTCAAACATATATTTCCAGTCATAAGCGTTGATGTCACACATATATTTCCAATGATAAGTATTATTGTAAATCATTTGTTACCTACCTCAATATTAATGTTTATTGGTATTATCTTGTCGTTTCTATCTCCATTTTTCAGTCAATTGGATCTTCAATACACCTTGTATATTTCAAACACCAAATCTCTACATAATTCTTGAAACCTCTAAAAAATCATCATCCTTGAACTTACTCTCTGCAACAACCATACTCACTACAAAGACCCTTTAAACTCTTGTCCACACCTTCAACCAACCTTCAATAATCATCCATAAAATATCTCTTCAACTTCACCATGCAGATGTTAAAAATGCACAGAAAATCTACACAAAAAATAACCAAAAATTTCATAGAAAATGTCTACCTCAACCTCACTCTAAACGATCTCAGAAATTTTCAACATAGCCTTAGTTCAGAATCGCCTGCATCAGATGACAACAACAACTCAGAAGCATTCAAAACACACAACAACCAAAGTTCGGAATCCATAAGAGTTGAAGAGAAAAATTG